TTAAATAGCTTTGTTGAGGGGCGCCTGGGTGGCGCAGTCGGGTAAGCGTCCGACTTCAGCCAGGTCACGATCTCGCGGTCCGTGAGTTCGAGCCCCGCGTCGGGCTCTGGGCTGATGGCTCAGAGCCTGGAGCCTGTTTCCGATTCTGTGTCTCCCTCTCTCTCTGCCCCTCGCCCGTTCATGCTCTGTCTCTCTCTGTCCCAAAAATAAATAAACGTTGAAAAAAAAATTAAAAAAAATAAAATAAAATAAATAGCTTTGTTGAGATGTAAGTGGTCTACAATAAACTGCACATTTTTTTTCCTTTTTAATTTTATTTTTTATTTTTTAAAATTTACATCAAACATACGGAGCCCTTCACGAATTTGTGTGTCATCCTTGCGCAGGGGTGGTGCTAGTCTCTGTCGGTTCGTAGGATCGAGCCCGGCATCCAGCTCTGCACTGACAACCTGCTAGGGATTCTCTCCTCCTCTCTCTGTCCCTCCCCTGCTTGCATGCATGCACGCACATGCTCTCTAAACAAACAAACAAGCGAACGAACAAACTTAAAAAAAAAATAAAGTAAGATGAAAAGTTCCATCCCTCAATCACACGAGCCACATTTCACATGCTCAGAATACGCATGAGTCCGCTTGATTACCGTTATTACTTGGTTACCGGTCACTTGGTTACCAACAGTCTTCCCGGCCAGGATAAATGCCCCCGAAAGCCCAGGCCTTGTTGGTCATGTTCACTGTGTATCCCCAGGGCTGGCTCACGGGGTGTTCGGATGAGACTAGGGGTGACGGAACATCCCGGCTAAGACTTGAAAGGTTTGTCCAGTGAGTGAGCGAATGGAGACAACGGGCCGATTAGACAGAGAGGGTGTAGGTACATCAGGAAATGTTGATTCAGGACTGAGGCACAGAGGGGCGTTGGCGAGAGTGTGGGCGTGGGCACTGAGCAAAGAAGATGGGGTCCCAGCAGATGTTTCCAGGGTCAAGGTGAGCACATGAGTCTGTTCTTACCCCAGCAGAGGGGCCTCGAAGGGAACTCCTGGGGACAAAATGGTGGGTAGTGGGAGCATGACATGGAGCTTAGAGCCAGACTGCCAGCTCTTGGGTGACAGCACATTTTTGAGCCTCGCCCTGCCTCAATTTTCCTCATCTGTAAAGTGGGGATAATAGCGTTTCCCGTATAGAGTTCCTGAGGGCCTGATGACTTAGTGCGTGGAAGTTGTTGACACGCAATACGTGTTCATCATTATTAAGGAAGGTTAATAATAGGTCGGAACCCAACTGGCAGGTTCAGGTCATTAAGACCTACACGTTGGCTGCCAGTGAAAGTACAGATTTTTGAGGTTCCCTTTCTGTGGCATCTTCCTGTTTGTGAACTTGATGTCTAAAGGTTACCTTGCAGGACTCTCTTCTGTTCTCTCATTCATTCGCTCACCTGTGCATGTGCTCGCGTCGCTCTGTGCCTGCCGTGAATTAACCTCACCCACCCTCCCATCTCCCCAGGGCACATTCGCCTCCCAGGTGACACTGGAAGGGGACAAGGTGAAAGTGGAGCGGGAGATTGACGGGGGCCTGGAGACCCTGCGCCTGAAGCTGCCTGCCGTGGTGACCGCCGACCTGCGGCTCAACGAACCTCGCTATGCCACGTTGCCCAACATCATGGTGAGCACTTAGCAGATGGGTCACCGAGGGCCCAAGGATGCATGAGTGCATTGCACGCCCAGGGACTTCTTGTACGAAGGAAGGGATCATCACCCTGCGGAAAGGAAGAGTTTACTGTTCATCTTGGCTTGTAGGATGGGTTCATTGGGTCATTTTAGCCAATAGGGAGAGTTTAGTGTGCCATCTCAGCCAATAGGAAGGGTTCAGTGGATCATCTCAGCCACCAGGGAGAGTTCAGTGGGTCGTCTCAGAAGGGTGGGTTCCGTGGGTCAGATGGGCCGGACTCATTAAGCTAGAAGGTTGAGTTTGCGAGTCCATTTCAGCCCGTGAAGGGCTTCTCAAGACAGCTAACTAAACAGGGACCCTCAGCAGAAGGGCTTCCCAGTAGGTCACGTCTGTCTGGCTAGCGGGGTCCAGAAAAGTTCGGGCGACGGGATTGCTTCTGCAGACATGGCGCTCGTGGGTGGGAGGCTGTGGGAGGCTGGGCAGGGCTTCAGCAGCCCTGTGAGCTGTCACTGCCCATGTGCAGAAAGCCAAGAAAAAGAAGATTGAGGTCATCAAGCCCGGAGACCTGGGTGTGGACCTTACCTCCAAGCTCTCCGTGGTTAGTGTGGAGGACCCGCCCCAGCGCACGGCCGGCGTCAAGGTGGAGACCACGGAGGACCTGGTGGCCAAGCTGAGGGAGATTGGGCGGATTTGAGCCCCTTCCCTGACACTCAGCAATAAAACTATGACCCTCCCGACGACCGTCTCTGTTAACTCATTCCGTGGAGACCTGTTCTTTGATTCATTCAACAAACATTTACTTAAGCCTCCCGTGTGCCAGGCCCTGTGCTGGGTGACGCCGGGGACCCAGGTGAGTCACATCCAGTCCCCGAGAAGCTTCCATGTTGGGGGGGGGGGGGTTGGGATGGACGTGGGCAGAGCCAGCTGTAAGCAGAGGTGACACCACACACTGAGGAGCCCACCTGGGGCGTCTGACCTGGAATGTGGGGTCAGAGACTTCCGGTAGATGGCATCCTCGTTGAATTCCTGAAAGACGAAGATCAGTGAGGGGGTGTCACGCTGCAGAGCTTTTGCTGGGAACTCGCAGGTGCCAGGCCCCCGTGGAGACTTGGGGAACAGGAGACAGCAAGCCTGGAGGTTCTGGTTGGGGACACAGACAACATGTAAGGTGGGGATGAGGAGCCGGGGCCTGGAGTCACACTCTGATTTTATTATTTTATTTTTTTTAAAGTGTATTTATTTATTTTTGAGAGAGAGCGCGTGTGCACGCGCCCGGAGGAGGGGCAGAGAGGGAGGGAGAGAATCCCAAGCGGGCTCTGCGCTGTCAGCACGGAGCCCGACGCGGGGCTCAATGCCACGAACCGTGAGATCGTGACCTGAGCCGAAATCAGGAGTCAGATGCTCAACCGACTGAGCCCCCCCAGGCGCCCCCAGACTCAGTGATTTTAGATCCCCCCTCAACTTTCCCAGCTGTGGGATCTTGAGTGAGTTACCTTGCATCTCTGAGTTCCAGTTTCCTCATCCGGCTGATCAAAATAGTAAGAGCTTAGTGTAGTGGTTAAGGGCTTGGGGTTTGGATCCTGAGGCCCTGGCAAGTTCCTACTCTCCGAACGCCAATCTCCTCCTCCCTCAGGTGGCGTTAGTAATAATACCCGTGTTCTGGTTGGTTGATGTGGCATAACGAGACACCCCAAAACTCGCTGACTTAAACCACCAATCATTAGTTTGCCCATACATCTGAAAGCTGGGCAGGGCTTGGCAGGAGAGCTCGCCTCTCCTCCACGCGGCGTCAGCTGGGGTCTCAAATGGGGCCCGGGGATACATGTCCGAGATGGCTCAGTCACCTGGCCTGCATGCTGGCTGGCTGGGGTTGTTGGCTTGAGCTGGCTGTCGACCAGGGGCCATGATTCCTTCGCGTGGGAAGCTTCCCCGTGGGGAGCTTCTTCACGGCATGGTGGCTGGCTTCCAGGAGGGAGTGTTCTACGACCCGTGAGGTGGGTTATGCCCGTCTCTGGGCCTCCATGCAGACACTGGCACGGGATCACTTCTGCTGTAGTCTCTTGGTCTGGTAGTAAGAGTCTACCTGGATCCACGGGGAGGGGACATAGACTCCGTAAGGGAGGAATTTGCTGGCATCTTTAAGTTACAAAACTTCCCCCATGAGGTTTTGAGGGAATTAATGTAGCACCTCCAGAACCACACCTAACGCACAGAAAATGCTCACTATGTATTATTACCCTCGTCATTACCATCAGCATGGTGAGAACTCCCTGGGTGAGCTCAGGGGACTGGATGCTGAGCAGAGATCCTGAGCCCAGCATGGGGTTGTAGCTTGCTTTCTTTCTGTTTTCGTTGTGTGTGTTTTTTTTTTTTTTTTTATGTTATGTTATGCTATTTATTTATTTATTTATTTATTTATGTTATTTTTTTATTTTTTTTATTTTTGAGAGATGGAGCATGAGTGGGGGAGGGACAGAGAGGGAGATACAGAATCTGAAGCAGGCTCCAGGCTCTGAGCTGTCAGCACAGAGCCTGAGGCAGGGCTCGAACCCACGAATTGTGAAATCATGACCTGAACCAAAGTTGGATACTTAACCGACTGAGCCACCCAGATGCCCCATGGGGTGGTAGCTTTCTGAAGGAGTGAGCATTCTGGCCATCCTGAGCCAAAGCCCAACTCCTCTCTCTGGCTGTGCAACCTCCTCCAGGTCCCTTGACCTCTCTGAGCCATAGTCTCCTAGCCCGCAACACGAGGATAACGACACCCAGCTCACAGGGTGTTTGGAAGTGTTTGGCCAGATAATGCCTGGGAAGCATTTCGCATGGTTCCTGGCACGGGAGAAGTGGTAATTATTATTATGATTCTCAACCAGCTGACGCCCCCCCCCCCCCCCGCCGGGGGGGGCGCCCCCAGAAGGTGAGCAGAACATTCCAGGTAGAGAAGAGTGCCCACAAATCTGGGAGGGGAGAGATGGGGCATGAGAATGCCAAGGTATTCAAAGAGGGGCCATGTGAGGATCCAGGGACTGGCACTGGTGGAGATTTGGAGGCTGGAGGGAGGAGGCAGAGAGCAGATAGGGCCTGTGCTACGGTCTGGCCAGTGGGAACCCAGAGGAAAGGCTGTGACAGAGATTCAGGGGGCAGAGCAGGAGGGGATGGGGAGAGAGGACGGAAGCCGCCCCACAGCCTCTGGGTAGATGGTGCAACGGCCCTTGAGATGGAGAGCCCGGGAAGGGGGTTGTGTTGGAGGGAAGACGCTGAGTTTAGGGGGATGCAGGGCACTTGAGGCCCTGGGGGGCACGGAGATGCAGCTATGGGTCTCTGGAGAGGGACTGGGTGGGAGGGCGCCAATTGAGACTTGGTTCTGAGGGCAGCAGGGAGCCATGGGAGGAGTTGGAGCAGAGCAGGAGCAGGGTCAAGTGCAGGTGCTGCAGGCAGGACAGAGTGGACTCGAAGCCGGAAGCTGAGGAGGAGGAAGCCCGAACTGAGGCCAAGGCCATCAGAGGTGGGACTCTCTGAAGGGTCACCTCACCCTCCTCCAAGAAGTCTTCCTGGCTGCCTTCCCCCACGGGTTTGCTACCACCACGTTTCCACTGGGACTCCTTTCTCGCCATCTTCACCTCGCATGTGGGGAGTGCGGAGTCAGATGGGACCAGCTGACGAGGACCAGTGGGGTGGGGGTGGCTGGCTCTGCCACTAGATTGGGGGTGGGGGCACCTCCCTCTGGGTCTGGCTTCCTTCCCCGCCCAGGAAGCTGCCAGTCCTGTCGGACTTGTCGACCTGGGAGGCACAGGTGCAGGTCCTGGAGTCTCGCTGCAGTGGCCTCACAGGTGCGGCCAGCACCATGGACACCTCACGGGCTCTTCTGCCCTTCCTGCTCCTGGGTAAGTCCCCTGCGCAGCCCCTTCCCCACCAGCCCGCCCTCTTGGCAGCTCCCCAACGCCCTCCCCTCCTCTTCTTGCAGCCTCCGGAGCAGCAGGGGTCGTCACCCACAGAGCCTCTTCTGGAGTTCAGCAAACCAGTTTCTCCTTGGACTCCGAAAGCTCTTTCCAGGGCCCAGGTTCGAAAGTCTCCTCCATCAAACCCCCCGACTGGAAATTTCCAGAGCAGTCTCCAGGTTCAAAAACCACTGCTGCTATCCCTCATTCCACACGGTTTCCTGAGGCCTCAAATTTTAACGACGTGCCTAGGTCAAACGTTTCTGCTGAGGGCCAAAAGTTGAGCCCGGATCCTCCTACCTTCCCTGAGGTCCCTGGTTCCGAAGTATTTCCTGATATCTTGGGTTCTCAAGTTCCTGCCGAAAACTCGGAGCCGTCCTCGGTTAAGACCCCAGCTTCAAACATTTCTGCTCAGGCCCTGGAGACTGAAGTTGAGACCCCACGTTCACAATTCTCCCCTAGGGATCAGGATCTTAAAATATCTGCCCAGAAGCCCGAATCCAAAGCAACTGCAGTAGCCCACCCAGTGGAAAGCTTCCCCCAGCAGGTGGGGAGGCCTCTGTCGGTGCTAGTGGGGACCACCATCCAGCTCCCTCTGGTTCCAGTTCCCAGCCTTGGCCCTCCTGCGCCTCTGGTGGTCTGGCGCCGAGGCTCCAAGGTGCTGGCAGCTGGAGGCCTGGGGCCGGGGGCCCCCCTGATCAGCTTGGATCCTGCTCACCGGGACCGCTTACGATTCGACCAGGCCCAGGGGGGCCTGGAACTTGCCTCTGCCCAGCTAGAGGATGCTGGGGTCTACACTGCTGAGGTCATTCGGGCTGGGGTCTCCCGGCAGATTCGGGAGTTCATGGTGGATGTATATGGTAAGTGGGCACTGAGGTCCAGAGTGCAGGCCGCAGGGTCTCCTCTGCCAGACCTTTGGGCAGATCACTGCCGTCTGACCTGTTTTCTCCCCTGAGGAAGGGAAGGGGTTCCCGGACAGGGGAGAGAGGACTTCTAGGCTAGAGGGAGGAAGGATAATAGGGGCTGGGGGCCAAGACAGGGGTTCTTGAGAGAAGTTGGGCCTGGGGATCAAGACTCCTGGGGGCTTGGAATCACGGGTCTCTGGGAGAAGAGGGGGTGGGGGAAGGGAGGGCGGGCGCTGGGGGACTTAGTGGGTCCCTGAGAAGGAGGAATCCTGGGTTTGGGGCCCTGAAGTCCTGGGTGTGAGGAGTGAAGGCCGGGGCCTGCAGTCCTGGATCTGGGGGACGAGGGGGCCAGGGACCGGGTCCTGAGCCCATTCCCCTTCTCCCAGAGCCCCTGCCCCAGCTGTCTGTGCAGCCCGAGGCCCCGGAGATAGAGGAGGGGGCGGCCGAACTCCGGCTGCGCTGCAGAGGGTGGGGGCCGGGTCGCGGGGAGCTGAGCTGGAGCCGGGACGGACGCACCCTGGAGGCAGCGGACCCTGAGGGAGCGGAGCCACCGCGGATCCGCACAGAGGGCGACCAGCTGCTCATCGGGCACCCTGTGCGCAGCGACCACGCCCGGTACACTTGTCGCGTCCGCAGCCCCTTCGGCCACGCGGAGGCTGCGGCCGACGTCAGTGTCTTCTGTGAGTCGGGGTATGCCTCCGGTCGGGGGCTAGGATCTGGGCGCTCGGGGTCCCGACTCCCTGGGGAGGAGGGGGGTGTTGGAGGTCCAGTCCTCGCGGGTCGTGGCGGAGTCCCGGGTGACCCCAACTCTCCCGGTTGCGACCCCTTCCCCCACCCAGACGGCCCGGATCCTCCGGTCATCAAGGTCTCCTCGGACCGCGACGCCACCCCCGCCCTCTATGTCACCAAGGGCAGTAACGTGACCCTGCGCTGCTCCGCCGCCTCGCGGCCGCCCGCCGACATCGCGTGGAGCCTGGCCGACCCGACGGAGGCCGCCGTGCCCGCCGGCCCGCGTCTCCTGCTGCCCGCGGTCGGGCCGGGCCACGCCGGCGCCTACGCCTGCCTCGCCGCGAACCCGCGCACGGGCCGCCGCCGCCGTTCTCTGCTCAACCTCACCGTGGCAGGTGAGCGGGCCCGGGCGGGACGGAGCGGGCTTCGCCGAGGGGGCGGGGCCGCAGCAGAGGGGCGGGGCCAGCAGGGGAGGGAGGAGACTCCCCGTAAAAGGGGCGGGGATGCCCGGGATAAGCGGCGGGGCCAACGAGGGCCGGCGGGACTTGCTCGACTGGGTGAGGAAGGTCACGAGAGGGGAGGGGGCCAGATTCCCGGGCCAGGAGCAATCTCAACAAATTAAGAGGAGGATCAAATGGTGAAGAGTGGAGGCCGGAAAGGGACGGAGTTTCAGTTGCTTGGGCCTGTTAAGTGGGATCAGCAAATAAATTACCTGAGGGCCCCTGGGTGGTTCAGTCAATGAGCTACCGACTCTTCATTTCAACTGACGTCATGATCTCACAGTTAGTGAGATCGAGCCCCACCTTGGGCTCGTGCTGACAGCGCAGAACCTGCTTGGGAGACTCTCCCTCTCTCCGCTCATGCTCTCTCTCTCAAAATACATAAATATTTTTTAAAACTTACCTGGGGAAAGGGGAGGAGTCATAAGAGAAGGGGGCTGGGCCATTCTAGAAAGGGCCGAGTTATCTTAGAAGAGGTCGGGGGGAGGGGTGTCGCATCCGTAGGGGCATTGATGTCTGGTTGATGGCTCCCAGTAACTTGATGGAAGGGGTAGGACTAGAAAGGAAGCGGGGGGGGGGTTATGTTTGCAAGGAAAGAAATCCGTGCAAAGATGTTTTCCTAGGAGAGAGGGGCAGTCAGTGGGGCTGCCGCTGCCCACTCAGCCCGGAAGTTTCTGGGAAAAGGGACGCCTAGGGGCGAGTCCAGGTGAAGAGGGGTGGGCGTGAACGCGCGGAGATGAGGGGCTGGAGGGGCGAGGGGAGAGAGGCCGAGCCCCTGTTCTCTCCCTCTGCTCCACAGATCTGCCTCCGGGGTCCCCACAGTGCTCAGTGGAAGGCGGTCCAGGGGACCGCAGCCTCCGCTTCCGCTGCTCGTGGCCCGGCGGGGTCCCCGCGGCCTCCCTGCAGTTCCAGGGTCTCCCTGAAGGCGTCCGCGCAGGGCCGGCGCCCTCTGCGCTCCAGGCGGCTGTCCCCGCTCACCCCCGGCTCAGCGGCGTCCCCGTCACCTGCCTCGCTCGCCACCTGGTGACCACGCGCACCTGCACGGTTACCCCGGGTGAGAGCTGGTGGGGTTTCTTTCCTGTTTCCTGGGGAAGGGGTATACATTTTAGCTCCTTTAGGAAATGAGAAAGGTGGACTTCTAACTCCAGGAAAAGAGATTTCCTTTGTCTTCAAACCTACAGAAGCACCAATACCTCAAGCAGGGGAAGGGGCCACAGTTTCTTTCCTGGACCCAGGAAGAGGGCTGGCATCTTCCTACGTGTCCAGAGCAATAAATGGTTGAGAATAATATGAGTTCCTCAGTCCAGCACCTGGGCCATAGTATGTATCTAATAAGTCCTTGCTAAGGAGATCAGGTGATGATGGACTGAGACATGGGCAGTGCTTCCTCATTTGGCTGACGTGTTGGGGTTTCACAGCTCTTTGCTTCACCAAAGCGGGCAGGACTTGGTCTTTGACTCCAGGGTCAGGTCTGGACTCGGCCCGGTTTCTTCTACCTGCAGAGGCCCCTCGGGAGGTGCTGCTGCGTCCTGCAGTGGAGGAAACACGGTCGGGGGAGGCAGAGGTGGCGCTGGAGGTCACTGGCTGTCCTCCACCATCCAGAGCATCTTGGGCCCGGGAAGGGCGGCCCGTGGCCCCAGGAGGAGGGGGTCGCCTGCGGCTCAGCCCAGATGGGCGCAGGCTCCTCATTAGCAACTTCAGCCTGGATTGGGACCTGGGAAATTACTCCGTGTTGTGTAGCGGGGCGCTGGGTGCCGGGGGCAACCAGATCACCCTCATTGGTGAGTCCATTCCTTTCCCAGAACCCAGAAGTCCTCTCTTCCCTCAAACCCGGTCCCCAGCCCCTTCTCCATCAGATCCAAGAGTCCAAGCCCTCAGTCCCCTTCCTCTTGTAGGCCTAGAAGTCTGGATCTCCAGACCCTCTACCCCAGGACCTATGGGTCCAGGTCCACGGCCCCCTTCCCTCTCCCATCTAGGACCCACAAATCCAGCCCCCACCTTAATTCCCCCAGGACCTTCCATCTCCTCGTGGAGGCTGCAGAGAACCCGGGATGCAGCAGTGCTGACTTGGGATGTGGAACGCGGGGCCCTGATCAGTGGTTTTGAGGTCCAGGCACGACCAGAAGGCCCCAACCTGGGTAGAGCCACCACCTACAGGGACTGGATCACCCTGCTCACCCTGGAGCCTCAGGAGCGGTCAGCTGTGGTGCCCCTTCCTCATCGGAGCCCTGAGACCTGGGCCTTCCGTATCCTGCCCACCCTGGGGGGCCAGCCAGGGACCCCATCACAAAGCCAAATCTACCAGGCCCGTGAGTTGGGGCTGCTGGAGGCTTCTCCTGGGCTGCTACCCTCAGTCTGTTTCGTTTATCCCCCTTCTCTGCTTGTATCCATTTTCTGGGGCTCCTTTAACAAAGTACCATGAACCGGGTGTCTTGGACCAATAGAAAGATACTCTCTCACAACTCGGCAGTCCTCCTTCTAATGGAAATGAGGGCCGTGCTCCCTCTGGGACTCTGGGTAGATGCTTTTCTGGCCTCTTCCAGCTTCTGATAATGGCCATTAGTCCTTGGATTGAATCCTTGGAGTTCCTTGGCTTGTAGCTGCAGCGCCCTGGTCTCTGCCTCCAGTTTTCCACAGCCTCCGCCTCCCTGTGCACACCTCTGTCTTCTTCTTGTAAGGACACTAGTCCGGTTGGGTTCGGGCCCATCCTCATGATCTCATCTTGACTTGATTGGTTGAATTGTGTCTCCCCCAGAAAGCTATATTGACATCTTAACCCTCAGTACCTGTGAATGTGACCTTATTTGGAAATAAGAGTCTTTGCAGAAGATTGACTCTATATCTATGATAGCACATCATTTCTGTCATAGCACATTTAGTTTTTGTCATAGCATAACCCATAATTAGGATATTAATTTGTGCCTTCATTTCTGATTTCCCTGAAAATGAATCCCCATGAGAGTAGGTATCTGGGTTTGCTCACCAATGGATCGTTACCAGTAGAGTGCCAGGCACACCACAGTTACTCAGTAAATGCACAATGAATCAAGGTTCTTGGGTCCTATAAAAGAGTTGGAGCAGGGAGCTTAGGAAACTTGGCTCCAGCTCTAGTTCTTCCTGCCTCTAATTATCCTCTCTGGTCTTCCAGGCCCCACCCTGAGCCCAGGGGCCATTGCTGGCATCGTCCTGGGTTCCCTACTGGGCCTGGCGCTCCTGGCAGCGCTTCTCTACCTGTGCATCTGCTGCCTGTGCAGCTTTAGGGGTAAGTGAGGGGCCATCTGGGAGGGTCCCTAGGAAGAGACCCGCTGGAGACCTGGCTGAACCAATCAGCGCAGTCACAGGTCATTCATCCCGCCTCCACCTCCATATCAGCCAATCAGAGTAAGGCTCCGCCTCTCAGCCTCGCTTCCCTGCTCATTGGCTGGGTTAGTATGTTGGTACAGCCAATCGCGTGTTTCTGTTTCTCCTCCTCTTTCCAGGAGACTCTCTGAAGAAAAAGAAGCATCCCCCCTCTTTGCCACCTGTGGTTCCCCCACTGGAAAAGCAGATGCAGAGTGTAACCCCAGTGCAGACGCCACTGCCTCTGCCCCTCAAAGTCCCGCTGGAGGACCCTAGCCCAAACAAGGCTCACCAGGTGAGTGGTGCCCCAGTGTCCTTCTGGAATAGGGGTGGGACTTTTTATGGTTCTTGTTTGTTTGCTTTTGTATTTAAAAAAAAAAATTTTTTTTTTAACGTTGATTCACTTTTTGAGAGAAAGAGAGAGAGACGGAAACCGAAGCAAACTCCAGGCTCTGTGCTGTCAGCCCAGAGCCTGTCGCGGGGCTCAAACCCATGAACTGTGAGATCATGACCTGAGCCAAAGTCGGATGCTTAACCGACTGAGCCACCCGGTCTCCCCTTTTATGTTTTAATCAGGGAGAGGAGACGGTCTGAGTTCTCTTCCTCCAGGTTTACTTGTTGGTTTACAAAATTAGTAAATTCCCCCCCACCCTTTTTTTTTAATATATAGAAATCGGACAGGAATTCTCACCCAATTTTTGTCATGTTAAGAGTGAAATTCCAGCTTACCTCCAAAGGAGAGAATACTCCTTTACTCTTCCATAAAAATTGGCAAAACTCCTGTTTTCTTTCTGTAGTGGGAGGGAACGTCTTCTTCCCTGAAAAAGCTGGGTTGTTGCATGTCTTGTCTCTCCCAAGGGTGGGTGAACATTTTTTTATTCTCCGTTTGCAAGTGGAGGGAACCCGGCTAATTTCTGAATAGCGTGAGCTAGCGCTAGAAAAGCGTGAGTCATGTCACATTCAGCATGTCACATTCAGGGTAACCTCTGAGGTTGTCTCCTTCCCTTCCTTTCTCTTCCAGGCCACTGGCCCCAGTCCAGTCATCTCTCTGGGTGGGGGCCCAAGGACTGTTCGGGCAGCCACACAGGTGTGACCTGCTTTGCACAGGATTTTTTTGGGTAGGACTTCCTGGTAGGCAGGGCCATCCTGTCCTGCTGTGACTAAAGACTGGACCCTGAAAGTGGGGCCTCCTGTCTCCTTCTCAGTGCAGAAGACTCCACTTGTATTTGCACAACCAAGCCGCTGTGGCTCCTGGGCTGGGAGAGACCCCCGCTGATCTACCACTGTGGTTTGCACACCCTCTAGGCAAGCGAGGGGCCTTCCTACGTCCACTTGCTTCTCCAGGCCACCCCCATGCAGCTCCCAGGGTCTTTGTCTTTTTTTTGTTTTTTAATGTTTACTTTTGAGAGAGAGCGTGTGCAAGTGGGGGTGGGGTAGAGAGAGAAGGAGGCAGGGTCCCAAGCGGGCTCCACACCGACAGCAGAGACCCCAATGCAGGGCTCACACTCATGAACCGTGAGATCGTGACCTGAGCTGAAGTCAGACACTTAACTGACTGAGCTCGCTAAGGCGTCCCCAGGGTCTTCATCTTAAAACAGCTCAGACTGGGTCCTTTTCTCTTTAAACCCTTCCGTGGCTGCCCTTTGCCCTCCAGAAATCTTCCTGAATCCTCACTGTGATTTTCAAAGCCTTATGGTTTGGCCTCTTGGCCTCTGACCTCCCCCTCCTGCACTTTCACCCCTGCTACTTGATTAACACAAGGCTTTTTCTTCACCAGATGCTGGATTTGGCCTCCAGGGCTTTGCCCCAGAGGTTGCTCTGCTTGAAATACCACTTTTTGCCCTGTGCTGTCCACTTCAGTGATTTATAGGAAATATATATTTGGTCATTCAGATGACCAAAATATGTTTTGCAGATGTATCTGGTCTTGACCCACGGTTTCTGAAAATGATTCAGAACCATAAAAGCAAAATACCCATTTCTTGCTATTAATGAAGGTGACTTTTGGATGCCCCCAAAGGCAGGGCTGGTTGCCTGGAGGGTCAAACCTGCAAATGGGGGATCTGGAACTTTCAGACCCATATCCGCCCCCCCCCCCCATCTCCAGGAGGGGGAAGGACTGGAGGTTGAATCAGCCAATGGCCAGTGACTTAGTCAATCATAATTATATAATGAAGCCTCCATGAAAACCCAAGGGAACAGCGCTTTGGTCCATTTTGGGAGGGCTTCCACTCTTGGTGAACCAGAGTGCTCCCACGTACCACTAAGCTGGACTCCAAGATCCACAGGGACAGAAGTTCCTTTGTTTGGGAGCTTGCCCTGTGTATCTCTTTGTCTGGCTGTTGATTCCTGTCCTTTATCATATCCTTTAATAAACTGATCAATGTAAATAACTGTTTCCCTGAGTTCTGTGAGCCACTCTAGCAAATTAACCAAATCTAAGGAAGAGGTCTTTGGAACTTCCGATGTGTAGCCAGTCGGTCAGGAGCACAGGTAGCAGTTTGGGGCTTGCAGCTGGTGTCTGAAGTGGGGTATGGAGGTGGTAATCTCGTAGAACTGCACCCTTCACCTGGAGAATCTGATGCTACCTCTGGGTAGAGTGTCAGAATTGAGTTGGTGTCTGAGAATTGCTTGGTGTTGGGCTGCTAGAAAGAAGCCCATCAACCCAATCAAAGGAGGGATGTGGAGATTCAGAGCACAGTGAAGCGAGGCTTTAATCAACGTTCTTGCAAGAGGGAGTATCTGACGGACAGGCACACTCGGGGCAGTTACAGCAGACGATTTATCTCCTAGCACGCAAGTCCCTCCCCTGGTTCCTCATTGGCTGAGTACTACAGAGGTTACAGCCTGACCCGGAAGTTGCCTATGCCCATATAAGGCAAACAGTAGACTGATTGGAATAAATGTACATTCCCTGAGGTGATGCAGAGACTTTCAGTCCCTTCTCCCTTTGTTCTTTGGCGCATGCCCATTGCATGCCCATTGCAAAGCCCGCAAAGTGGAGAGGGGAAGAACCAGGAAGTGAAGTGTCTAAGAGTTTGGGAGTCCATTGTGGTGGTGGGGGAGGTGCGTACATATTTCCAATAGGTTGTAAATCTATTGTTAATTAGACAGCACAGCTTTTATTTGATATTTCTGAAAATGAATCATCTCCTTTACTTCTCACAGGGGGAACCCCCCAATGTTGGGATCAGGTCCAGAAACCCTAAACATGTAACTATTACAAGCTTAGGAGACCCTTTCCTAACCCATGACCCTAACCTGCCTTGACCCTGACCCTTCTGCTCCTCGAACATAAATACAGAAGCACTTGTTTAGCCTCTGACTCCGTCTCTAAACTGAGAACTTCAGGAAGGCAGAGACTGTGTGTGTCATTTTATCCCCAGCACTTAACACAGAGCCTGGCACATAGCAGGCAATCAATAAATACTGCACATGTTTCGGTGCCAGCGAAAGGCTGGGCTTGCAGCTGCTGTCCCCAATGATGTCTTTCTTTTTTAGCTGGGTTTCTCATTGGAAATTTAGGGAGTGCATCAATGAAGATTGCCTTGGCCGCAAGAAAGCAAAATAAATGGTGGCAAAATGGATGGTGGTTTCAGGCTGGCTCAGCAACTTAGTGACCCCATCAAGGACCTGAGCTCTCTACATCCTGCTCGGCCACCCCCAGTGGGTTGGCATATTGTCTTATGTAGCAAGATGGCTGCCACGGTGCCAGGCATCACCTCTTCACACAACTGTATCTGAAGGCAAAAGGAAGGGAGCAAGGTTCCCTTCCCACACCCCTTCCCTCGACCAACCTCACTAGCGAGGAAAAAACTTTCCTGGAAGCCTACTGGCAAAGTCTCCTTATTGACCCCAAACTAGCCACGTCACTGCAAGTGAGGCTGGGAAACCAAGTGTCTCAGCCTGTGTCGTGGGAGGCGGGTCTGAGAGCAAAGAAGGAGGAAATAGCATCTGTGTCAGGGAAGGAAAGGATGTGAGGTATTCTGGTTAAAGATTGGGGTGAAAGAGGCCTTTGGGAAATAGAGCTCTTAGATCTTTTTGGAAAGGTGAAGCCTGGGGTCCTGGGTACCTGGATCCTTGATATCATTTCTGTATCAGAGCTTTCATTTCCTTTTTAATCACTAGACTGAGGAACCTAACACACGTTGGCTTCTACCTACAGGGGGCTGTGTTGCTGATGTAAGTGAAAGCGGGCATCAGATAAATTTTGATCCAGCTACTCAAATGATGGCATCGTGGACTCAGTTTCTTTAGCTCGCTCCCCCTCCCCCCGCCACTCTGTATTTCAGTGTTTGTATCATTCTCAGGCTCTACGTGCTACCTTCCCCACAGACCCAAGATCTTCCATGTAATGGAGAAAAGCAACTCATCTAGATACACCTCACACCATTGAGCTACATCATCCAGTGGAATAGCATCTTGTGAATCCATACAGCTCTGGAACTCATTAGCCGAGGGGCTGAAGCCAATCAAAATCTACCAAAGACAGAGAAGGCAGAAATGATGCTGGAGAGGCACCACCAATGACCATGACCCTTTGCCCTCCACTCACTCAAATCCTTAATGACACGGATACTTGCAGGCAGAGACTTTGGAAAAAGGCGTTTATTGGTGTGGTGGTCTCAACACTCCCCATGAATCGGAACACACGGCCCCCAGGGCCCCCCGCCCCCTCCCTTGCCTCCCTCCCCCTCCCCTCCCCATCCCCTGGACCCTGGGAATGGAAGACAATGTGGGATGGGGCCCACGCCCCCGTCTGAGGTACAGTCACTGCCCCTTGCCCCCCTGCCCCTGCTCTGAGCTCCTCCCCCCACCAAGCTCTGGGTAGTGTGGTTTGGGGCGAGTGTTTATAGCGGGTCCCCCAGGAGTCGGAGCTGGAGACTTGGCATCTTGGACTGGACTGGGGATGCCTGTGTGACGCCTCTCTCTCCCCCACTTTGTGTGATGTGTGCCAAGACCGTGTCTTCCCACCTCAGAGCTGGGGTTACAGCCTCTCAGCACGCCCTCCTGACAAGTTGCCCACCCTCGGGGGGAACACAGCCGGTCACCAGCCGCGGTGCAGCCGGAGCCGGGGGGCCTATTGCTGGCCACGGTCGCTGGTATGTGCGTGTGTGTGTGTCTATGTGAGTGTGTGTGAGGGCGGTCAGGTCAGCCTTTGGGAGAGAGGCCAGGGAGTGGGGGAGTGGGGGACCAGCAAGCCCACACCCGTGGGAAGCTGTGGGAGCTGGTTGGTGCTGCGGGCGGCCAAGGGGAGTCGGGGGCCGGGGAGGGCAAAGCACTGAGACAGACAGGTGGCCACAGGCACCGGTCCGACAGTTGGATGGAAGCACCGATTGGCCCAGAGGGGGCCAGAAAGTCGGGGTGGGGGGCAGGGAAAGTGGGAAGGTCTCAGGCTGCTGAGCCAGCGATGGGACCTCTGGCTCCAGGCAGCTGGTGGTTGACAGCAGTGAGGCCCCGGGCCAAGATGGAGATCGCTCACCTGCTCACAGAGGCTGAATGATAGCTTGACAGGCGAGCGTGACACCCCTCCCCACCCCCAACCTGCCCAGGAGACGCTCTATTAACAGGGAGGGGAAGGGGTGGGGTGCGTGCATACACTGGGGAAGCAGGGGGCCTGGGAAACCTCCCCTCACAGCTCCAGCCGCGAAGCCCACATACCTACCTCCAGCCAGAGGAGAGAGGCAGCAGCACTGGGGGGCAGTGGGCATGGGGGTGTTAGGGGAGGGAAGATTGCTGAGCCCCTCCCCCCACACATACGCACACGTGCAGGCTCATGCTCACACACACCCACTACATACACACGATCCAGTTGACAGCCTGAGCTAAGAGAGGGGTGTGGGGTGGCCGGGGGTGGGTCGCAATCGGAAACGTGAACGGTGGCGAAAATGGCTGTAGAAAGATGCATAATTTTGCGTTATCCCTCACAGTGATGGGTTCTCTAAAGAGCTTTCCTCCTCCTCCTCCTCCTCCTCCTCCTGCTTCTCCTCCTCTCTTCTTCCTCCTCGGTGGCAGAGAGCTCTTCCGCCCCCTCGAGACCCACGGCGCTGGCTCTCCCTTTTTCTCTCGCTCTCCGCCTCAGGCCCCTCGCAGGGGGGAGGCGAGCTGCGCTGGGTTCTTCCTACATCCTCCACCACAGCCAGCCCAGGGCGGAGAGGAGGGTCAGGGGCCCCGGGGGCCTCGGGGCTGAGTTCTCCAGGGATCCTGGGCCTGGGGAAAGACAGAGGGTCGCGGGGGTGGCCTGGGAAGGGGAGACCCCATGTGTGTTTCCCGGTGCCTTGTGTCTGCCCTGTCTCTGGGGGCAGAGACGCTAAGACACTTAGCGACACTCGTTTCTGTCTGCCACTCAGTCCCTCTCTCTTTTTCCGTCTTTCCCAGAGGTTCTTTTTCACCGCCTCAGCCCGGGGCTCTCTCCACGTCGGTCTCTCCGTCGTACAGTTTCGGTCTATCCAG